CAAACCCACACCATAAGCACATTCTCAAACAAAGCAAGTGATCTAGCAAACAACTAAGAGCCCGTAGAAAACTACGGATGAAAAGGGTGCTAACACCTTCTCTCTTCATAACCTACCCCCCGAACTCAAGAAATAATCTCAAAGGTCTTTCCTGTTCTTTTCACCCTTTCCTTATTGAATAAAAGAAAAGTCGGTGGCGACTATTTCTATCCGCAACAATTGCGATCAAATGTAAAACACCCAAGTCAATTCTTCCATCGTATTACACCTTCCAACCAGCAAATCAAGTGTCTCTGAAAATACTCGAACGTCTGCGTGTTCCAGAGTTTGATTTTCATCGGAGGCTTTGTCGCTGAAAAAATAACATGCATATCTCTTTTGATCAGTGAAAACCTTGGTAAAGGAGTGAAACACATTTTCTAAGAGTGATGTGATAAATTGTGTGAAAAAATAAAGAGGACGGGTGGTTGCATTTATAGAAAATCATATACAAATGTCAAGCCACATAAAGTGACGTCTCCTCTCTAATAATGCATGCATATGCCACACTGCATGACATTACACAGGAGGACAAGCCATGCAGTGTAGCGCCTCCTCTTTAATTTATATGCATGCACCACACAGAGTGGCGCCTCCTCTGTGTGGCAAATTTTTTTTTTCAAAAGTGGTTACTTTGGTAAAAATTTTGAAAATGTGGTAATTTAAAAAAAATTGAAAAAAATAATTATTTGAAAAAAAAAATCATAAAATTATGGAAAAATATCCTTTTTGGTCCCTTAAGTTTACCCCGAGGTCCATTTTAGTCCCTTATCTTTAAAAAGTTTCGAAGTGGTCCTTTAATTGTTAAAAAAGGTCCACGTTAGTCCTTTCTGTCTAATTTTTTTAACATCGTCAACGTTTTCTTGTGTGGCATCTGATGTGGCGCTGATGTGATACGCGTGGCAAATTTTTTATAAAAGTTTCAGAATTTTACATTTAAGCTGGATTCAAACCCATGCCACCTTGAATACAGGAGAAACAACTTACCACTACATCACTTTGCAATTCATGTTTATATTTTCATTCAAGTTTATTATCAATAAAAAATGCAGCACATTGCAGTATTTTTATTGAAGTTCCTCCTAAACCAGACACCAAAAGAGTAGATCTACCATCTTTGAGAACTTCCATCTTCAACTTAATCAACCATAAATCCAAACCAACCATAAATTTAGGTGAGAAATAAGTGTTTGATTGGGATCCATGAATAAAATCAAAAATTCTCAATTAACAGAAATTAGGGTTAACTGAAATTGTTGATGTTGTTGTTCTTCCACTCTCAGGTTTTCCATTACACACTCGATTCCTTCAACCACTTTGTTTGCTTTCGAATCGCTTTTTTATCGCTTTTCTTCATAATCGTGTTTGTGTTGGTTCTAGGTATTATTAATTACTCAAGCATTTCAACTTATTCATGTTTCATTTCAGTTTAAATTTCCAATTTCCATCAGGATCTGGATTTGTTCATTGCTTTATTGTTGAAAAATATTGTAGTATTTGACAATACTCAAATATGATTTTGTTTTTGTGTGTTTTTCTTTCAAGAATCATTGAAGGGTCTGTGTTCAATTCTGGATGTATAATAATGTTTTCTAAAATATTGGGGATAGAAGAATCTTGTTTACAAGAAGAGTTTCACGGTTTGAGCGTGTCAAAGCATCTTGTGAGAATGATTAGTCAGAAGTTGAAATGAAGAAGACACATATTAAAAGTAAATATATATCTCATTTGTAAATGAATTCATAAAAGGTGAAGAGGTGTAGTGGTAAACATGTTGTGCTGCAACCAATATCAGCGCCACGTCAAATGCCACCCAAACAAAAATTAACACCGTTAAAAAAATTAGACGGAAAAGACTAACGTGGACCTTTTTGTACAATTAAAGGACCACTTTAGAATTTTTAAAGATAAGAGACAAGAATGAACCCCAAAATAAATTTAAGAGACCAAAAAAAATATTTTGTCTAAAATTATCTAAAAGCTTAGAAAATAAATAAATAAAAAATCACAAAAAAATATTTATAAAAAAGTCACTAAAAATATTGTTTTTACTCGATTAAAATATAATTGAAAAAGTACAAAATGAGGAAAGAACTAGAAGAACATTTTGAAAAATGAAAAAAATAATGCAGTTATTATTATTATTATTTTTTCTAAGATATTATTATTCTCTTTTTCCTCCCTATCGCTTTCTCATGTTTTGTTTGGGCCATGAACGCTTTAATTAGAAAAGAAAATAACAAGGCCCCACCAAAACGTGAAGAATGATTTGGATTTTGGACTTATATCAACGGCTAAGATTTTCATTTCAGATCACTACCAACCGTCCGATCATCCACTTAACGACAGCTCATGCATGGTTGGCGCCGGGTGCTGAGGCACATGTCAAGCTTGCCCTACTATGCGACCAATCACGTTCCACGGTCGTGCCATATCACTCCAACACAAAAATAAAACTTCGTAATAATTTAGGTTACACAATTTTATCACACAATATTTTACTACTATTGTTAACAAAAACATATCAATTATTTCTTTTCATTTTCTCATGTTGGCTACTATATAAATATTAATAAATACTAAATATATATTTATCCCAAACAATTTTTAAGTAGGAGACACACCTTTTGCCATGTCTAATGGCTTGTGTTAGTCTTGAGTTATGACCTATAACCGGCCCCCATGCTTAGTTCTTGTAATCTCATATCCTTAGATAGTGACTTATGTTATCTTGTGTTTCCTTCTTTGACTTTCTTTCCTCCTTTCATTTCTCTTGCCTTTCTCATATGTGCAAAAGATAATAACTTTGAGTATATACATGTAACAAATTGAATAGCAACCTTAGTTTTTTCTTAAAAGGTAGTATGCCACTTTTTCCACACATGTCAAACATTGTTTTACTTCACTTCAAGATCATTTATATCTTTTTTTCATTACCATTTTCTTTTCTCAAATGATATTTTACTAATAAGAAATTCTCAAAAAACAATTTATAAAATTAGAATATTCTTTGTGTGTCTAGGATTTAATTTACCATTTCATCTAAATATAAATAATATGGGATGAAATGGCAATAATTGTTTACATTATTTCATGGACATATGTTATGCTTAAAAATAATCCATTGTATATGGACAAATCTCTCTCCACCGCTCTTAAGAAACAAGAATCATCCAAACAATAAATTTATTTAGTCAATCATTTTTGTTCGTGGCCAAAATCTTCAAAATATTTTATTTTATTTTAATAAACAAATTAACTATTCCTTTCTTTTTTTTAGTTGTTTCTATTTATGTAAAGAAACACTTTACCAACCTCCTTTTCCTTTCTATAAGCTGGCATTAACCACCCTCTTGCCATTGTTTGTTTCAACAATTGATACAAATCTTTTTCTTATTTTAGAGGAGTCATATCATATAATTTCAATGATTGAATAATTAAACTTTTTAGGTGAATATTTGACTATTAACTAAACACGTTAACCCTTTCAAAATAAATAAACTTTAAACATGCTAATTGTGTATTTATACTCAAACAATAAATTTATAAATTATGATAAAAATAATGTTAAAAGGTGTCTATTTTTTTTTATAAAAAAATGGTATATGAGCTAAGGACTAATGTAAGGAGATCAATTTTATTGTACTATAGAAATTCAGAGCAAAATTTATATGGATGTGTTCTAACACATAAATTATTAGTATTTAGCCTGATTCGAATATGAAATTTTGAGAGGAATTCTTATAACTCAAACTTTCACTATTAGCTAATTCATGGAAGTTAAAATATGTTTGATGTCCAATGTTTTTATACTAACCCATGTAATTATAGTAATCAATCTATTTTTTTTAATTATTATAGATATTTACGCATTTCTAATATCTGTTAAAATATTGTAAATACGACATCTACACAGACACATTAACATTGATAATAAATTAAATAAATAAATAAATTAAACATTAGTACAAATATTAATCGATATTGATTTCAGACATGAATACACCTTTTTTTCCGAGCTGATCGTGCTACATATTCACCTGTTGCATCCCACATTGATATAATGATATGTTAGAAGAACAAAAAATTAATTGTATGACAGTTACATGATTAAGGGAGTGGTAGAAGAGTCATTGTGACAGTTACTATTAATCTATCTGTCTATTCCAATTCCAATGCCAATTCATTGAAAGCAAGCTTAGTTCCACTTGAGCTTTCTTTCCACAAATCATTCTTGCAAAGAAAACCTTAGTGTCACCAACTCCAAGCTTTCATCCTCACTTTCAACTATCACAATTCACATCCAAAACCACTTACAAAAATAATCACTTCTTCTAGTGCTTCTAATCCAAACCACCAACAACCATAATTCACTCTGAAACTCAAATTTAAGAGGTACAAGTTTTTTTTTTTTATTGTATCTAGAATTAGAAATTCTGAATTCACATGTGTTTGTTTTCCAGATGCATTTTTTTTGTCTTTTTGTTAATTTTTTTATTTGAATTTTGCATAGTCTCTTTCATTGAATTGTGGTTTGTTCAATATGAATCAAGCTTTTTGTATTGTAAATATTTTCTGTGGAGAGTTTGTTGCAGGGATGAAGATCTAATTGTAATTTCAATTTTTATTGTTTTGTTTTTAATTTTACTCAGAAAATGTAGCATCAGAATCTGAAATTTTGAATTCAGATTTGTGTCAAACATCGCAGAGCGGGAGGATCTATATTTTGAGTAAAATGAATATCTCTGAACGTAACACATAGACTATATTCGATTATTGCATTAGTCTTTTTTTAGAAGTATGAGGCTAAAATCATGTGTATATTTTTTTTAATTTTCTATTTATGTCGATTGAATTTTGTTATTTGACTCAAACAAAAAATAAACATAAAACAAACTTTTTGTTATTTTACAACTGATCATGATCATGTAAACTCTATTTTTTTAACTATTTATAGCGCAATGGAATCGGATAATGGCGTTGTTGTGGAAGACGAAAAACATGTTATTGGAGAAATAACTAAGGAGAACATACATATAGAAATTGAAGAAAATTTTAATGCAGAAACTAAGACCAAGAATGAAGTATCTCAACCAGTAGTAGTATCTGAAGGCAGCAATTCTGTGGTTATTAAAAACTCCGAACTTGCCAAGGTATCGTACAAAATGTATCCGACTTTATTTCTATATGTTATGTTAAACGGTTTTATAAGTATTTATGTCAGTAGATAAATTCAAATACGTTAACACAAACACGTCATGATAGGAACTTGGTGTCAAAAGTGGTGTAGCTTCAAAGAACACTAAATCTACAGCCAAAGATAAACCGAATTTGAAGGCCGCGACTTCATCGTCTCAAAGACAACAAAACCTTTCCAAGAGCCTTACTTTTCCATCAAAATCGGCTCGTGTTGAAGCGATGAAGAAAAGTACGGATGGAATTCTTTGGAAGACAGAAAATAAACATGCTCAAGCTGTGGCTTCAACTCTTCATTCAAAAAGGTTGACAAACTCAAAAGTGAACACAAAAGAAGCAATAAAAAGCCATGGAAATTCTAAAAGGACTTCTTTGACATCCATCAATAGCTTTAAAAGCGCTGAGGTAAGAAGATTCTTTGTTTCTCAATGACTTATTTTATGTTGTTTGATAGCTTATTTTCATTTCATTGGTTTATCAGAATTCAAACCCGGCGAAAAGTGAAAAACCAAATAAAGAAGATGACGATGCTCATTCGACAACTTCGTAAGATTACTATGTTTTAGCATTATTATGATTCATTAGGATATGCATTTGTGGCATTGACATCTCTTGATGAATGAATTACCATTCTGTAGCTATAATATATTCATTGAATTTCGTTTGTATGCTATCAGAAGTCTTACACCGTGTAGGAAGAGCAGTGGTTCGGGATTTTCCTTCCGACTGGAAGAACGAGCTGAAAAAAGAAAAGAGGTTATTTATCGAAACATCAAAAGCCTATTGTTATTGAATTGCTTATGATAAATATTAATCCTATTCTATCATTTCATTCAGTTCTTCTCGAAGTTAGAAGAGAAAATTCAAGAAAAGGAAGCGGAGAAAAGTAATTTGCAAGAGAAATCAAAGGTGCTATCGATGCGAATAATCGATGGATATTTTGCTCAATATTCTTTGAGTTTTGATTTGTAATTCAACTGCTACTTTTAGTTTATTATCTCGTTTTTTCTTCTTCTTCTGATATCCTACAGGAAAGCCAGGAGGCAGAGATCAAGAAATTAAGAAAGAGGATGACATTCAAAGCAGCTCCAATGCCAAGTTTCTATAAGGAACCTCCTCCAAAAGTTGAACTCAAAAAGGTAACTAAAGTTTCTGCATTTTTCTTTAATATGATTTTCTATTTTTCTACTAATTCTACTTGTGATGTATTTGCATCTACTAATTAGATACCTACAACACGCCCGAAATCGCCAAGGCTTGGAAGAAACAAAGGCCCTATTGTTAACAACAGTTCAGAAAAGAAATCTAGTTTGAGTTCACATGAGAAGCAACAGCAGAATGATTCAACTGTTGCAAAAGTAAAAGATTTTAAAGACGTGAGTTCAAAGAAACCGGTCAGAAAAACACAAGCCAAGGTACAATTACAGGAAATTGCAGTCACAAAAACAGAAATGGGTTCTGTCAAGACTATTATTACGAATAACGTTCCGGTAACCGGGCAAGATGCGAAAGTGGATATAGGAGAAGGCAATGAAGAAAGTAAAGATCCACCTGTTGACATTTCTGAATACCAAAATGAGATAGAGCTAGAGTCACTAAATGAACTTACTCAGAGCACTACACTGGTGAATGCATCTGCACCAGAAATTGTATCCTATGAAGTTACTGTTGGAGTGTAGATTGGTGAACCAGGGTGGAGAGTATTTATGTAAACTCGGGATTCCTTTATTACCAGTTAATTTTTCATTATTATATTGTGAATATAGAGGTTGCTTCATGTTCATCATAAACATGTATCTCAAAGAAGATAATTGCTTCTTGTATTAAAACTGTTATTGTTTGTAATGAATGGTAAGAAAGCCTTGTTAATTTGTGATTAAGCAAATTGTTCATGTGTTTTTCCTTTGATTGAAGGAAGAATTCTACTATTACCCTATGTAGCTTCTCGCTGACAAATATGGGATATTATCCCTCAATTCAATTGCTTACAGTTACAATCCCTTCCATATATTTCCATATATTCAATATATTCCATAAACAAGAATTACATAAAGTTGTTAAAAATTAAAACTCAAAAAAAAAAATTAAAAATTAGGTGAAATCATATTAGATTATTCAAAATCAATACCGAAAAAATGTGAAATCGGACAATTTTTTTAGCTACAACTCGATTTAACATCCTTTTAGTCTATGAACATAGTTACCCAATACTGCAATGCTTGGAAGGTATAAAAAGGTAAACGTTGTGCGCTTGATTAAAAGTGATTAAGTTCAAGCTTGGCAAATTATGATGGAAGTTCTACGCTGTCTGTCACGCTCCACTTTGAGAAGAGAAATGAGGTGCTCGACCAAGTGGTACAATGAGATCCTTCAAAACATCATACTCATCCTTCCCTATTTGTGAACCATTCAGAACCTGATTCACCAAAACACCAGAAAAGTGGTTACGAATTAAACAGAGAATGGAGTTATTTTAAAAATGACATAAGATAAGACAAACTTGAAAAATGATAAGATATGATTAACTTCCATATTCCATGTGTCATAGAAAATTTTGCAAGCCATTAAATAGCTCAATTTATATGCTGAACATCATTTCCCACTAAAAAATAATGATTATATGTATATTGTCAAGAGATGAGATTGGGAAGGTGGGTTTTTTTAATAAATTCAAGTCACATGCTTGACCAAAAAAATGTTTTGCACATGGAAATATGTGCACAGCTTAATGGCCATCCTCACTTCAACTAAAGATCTGCATAGCATTTCATGTTGGACTCTGGAAAATAATTTTGAGTCAACAGCCAAATGGTCTCACCTTGAGAAACAAGTCCCTCCTATCCGTCATGTATGAGATAAGAGTAGGTAATCTGCAAACAGACAATGCATCTACGAACAATAGAACAACCACTTGCCATTGTTTCATTCTGAATGCTGGTAGTGCGTCCACAAAAGACATTGTATCCAGCAAGAATACCTAAGAAAAAAACCATGCATATAACTCATTCACATATAAACAATGGATATATTTAAAAACTTTGCTTAATACCAATGAGAATATACTTTACACCTTTCTGCAATAGACACAGCCTTAAACAAAAGAACTTTTGCAAATTTCTAAATTTTGAAAAAGAAAGCAGCCTGGTCCTATAAAGCTCCTACTATGCACACAGTATAAGGAACTAAGAAATGGATGACCCTGTGGCATGGGTCAATAGTAACCAGCCTTATCTTGCATTTGAGTTGCAAACTTATAATGTAGTTTTAAAATTATATTTCATCTTTCCAAATAATAAAGCAGTATTTTAAGACCGAAGAATTATTCAAACTGCCCATCTGAAGCAATTCCTATTAAAGTGTTGCTAAATTGATGAAACATGGAGAAATCATTTTAGTTTTTGCTTCCAGCAAAGAACATGTCCAATTAGGTGCTAAGACAATTGCAACTTGGTGGTATCTTGCAACTATTGCAGGTATACTAACCTGAACCATATAAGAAATGTAATAGTAAGGCCTGTGCAGATAAGATCGATGTGTGTGATTAAATGAACTAATGAAAGTGATTTTTCCTTTTCCATAGTTTTGTTGATTTCCTTATTTTGGGTATGTGTGGCTCTGCATTTTTTTGAGAGGGGGTCACAAAAAAATCTTACCACCGCTTGTTCTAATGTAGATAGTGGTATTGGCAGCCTGAGCTCAGCAGCAACTGCAGGTAAAGCTCGAGCAAGACATCTGGCTAATGTTTGTTTTATTTCAGATGATCGACCATCTGTCAAGACAATTTTGCTAGGATATTCTCTCCCATTAACTGATAGAAACTCTTCGTGAAAACTTACGTCCCTCCCATATATATGTGCCAAAGAAGATGATGTTATCCATGAAAAGAAGGCATTCCACATAGTAGCAAAAGGTGACAACTGAAAGAAAGTTTGAAAAAAAAGAGGTATGTAACTGAGTATACCATGAAAACTTGTATTGGCTTTGAACACTTTCAATAAATAATACAAGAGACTTACAGTCAGGCTAAAACCTTCTGGTGGAGCATCAAACCATGAGTCTTCAGAATCGAACAAATCAAATTCGGAAATTCCAGGTTTCCTTGGCCACTTCAAAGTAACTGAATTTTCTTCTAGAATGTCATCATTGTCCATAGTACCTTCCTCAACTAGAATGTCATCATCATCCATAGTACCTTCCTCAACTAGAATGTCATCATCATCCATAGTACCTTCTTCAACAACATTGGGAGGATGAGGCAATATAATGATTCCAGCTTCAGAAACTGCACAAGAAGCATTGGTCGACAAAAATAATTAGAAATAATTCAATATTCAAATAGAAAATTCTCTAAAGAAACATCAATTACCAGCATCATTGGCGTCTGCGTCTCCTGATGCAACTGCTTCCGATGCTTGGCTCAATGCAATTGCACAAGCTTCTGCTAATGCAGAACGTAACACATCTTCATCCGCAGCAGCATTTATATTATCTGGCACTTCACTTTCCTTTTTAATGTTCCCAAATTCTTTAACTGCACAAAGATCTTTACTCCCAGAGCTGTTGGTTTTCTCATCAGCCCATGTAACAGAGCGACAGAGTTTCTTTCTACCATCAGATTTAAGAGAAGATTTGGGTTTAGTCGGGGAAGATCCAATTGTTTTTTCAATTTGGAATTTCCCTTCACCATTGGCAGGAACTAAATTGGAAGTGGAAACATTGCCGTTAGCAGCAACTATACTTGTTTCTCCTTTGAGAACTTTCTTTTCAATAGAAGGAGCGAGAGAGGGTTTGAGAACATCTTCAGATGATTTGGCTATTTCCGTTTTGTTATTTGAGGGACTTAAAATAAGACTACTCTTAAAGGATGAAGACAGGTCTTGTATATCATCATCTTTCCTGGCTACTTTATTGCCAACCCTTTTGGGCTGCTCCAATATGGCTGTTGGATTTATTTGTTCATCACAAGTTGTGTCTGTTTGCCCTGATGATAATTTTGAAACAGTGTATTCATCTTGCATGATTATTGTACTCGTGAAGTCAAACTCACTGATAATTGAACTTTTGTCATCATTCGACTTCCCACGAATAGTTTTGGACCCTGCAACGCACAATCAGCAGTTGGAAAGTGGAAAAGGATAAGAATAAGTAGCTACACTACTCCATTTCTCAGAATTTAGGCCCTCAACTTTACGTCTACAACATAACCACCCATAAGGAAAACAAAGACTAAAATACAGTAAGTACACTCCTGAGTAAATCTAGGAGTTCCTACAATTATAAACGATTCTGTAAGATTCTCACCTTTTTTAGTAGTTTTCTGAGAACCCTTAGAACTGTTGTCTCTTTTTTTTGGTAGATAGCCCTCAATTGCATTAGATGGTCCAATCCACTGCTCCAAAGACACCTCGCCAGTGCCAGTTTCTGTTTTATCCTTGATTTCCAAGCCAGAAAAACCTAATTTTCCATCCTTTCCAAAATTTTCCATTGGTTCCATATTCAAATTCCCAAACAACCTAAGAACATTGTTCAGTTTCTCCGGGTCTAAAACCGAGCACCTCTTATCTTGCAAGCTCCCAGCAAAAGCTTTGCTGCTAACGATACAACTTGAAGAACAAAACATGTAAGTTTCGTGCAGGTCATACACCTTGTGCTCCTTCAACGAAATTCGATATCTACCCTTCCGAGGGCGTTCAGTTGGCAAAGCATTGTGGCACAAAGGATAACCACACACATTAGTAATGGACCTTTCGGTTACAACATCTTCATAGTCACTTCTCGATATCAAAGATCCGGCAGCAAACAGCTGATCTTCACTTTGGATGCCATCAAGGAGGGACAATTGCAATTTCAGAACAGCGTCTTTGACAAAAAGAGGCTGGTTCATTTCCATTAGAAGCAAGCAAGTATCTAGAAATTGCATCACACAAAAAACACCAAAATAAGTCTCTACATTCCAACAAAATCTAATAGATCAAGGTAAGTAATTCGGTTAAAGCCCTTCTCCAATTGTAAACAACATAAAACGGAAGAAAATAATAAATCATTACATCGATGTGTACTAAAAGTAAAACTAAAAAATTATAACGGGCAAAGATCAACTGTATTCCACAAGAACCCTCACTGATCTGAAACAAAATTCCAACAAATTCACAATAACTTAGTTACGAAGCCGTGATTCAGTCAACAAAATTCAATACTGACAATACTACTATTAGCTAAGTAAGTCAAGTTTGTGGATTTTATGAAATGAGAATAGAATTCAGTTTCAAGTTAATACAGATTTTCTAGTTCATGTTTAATTGCACGTTTGATATCACGGTGGATTCACCGAATGTTCATCATACAATACAAAAGATAGTTTGTGCACAATGATGACAAATACTCAAACAAGTAGTTAGGTAAAGCTATATCACATGTAACAAGCAAAGTAAATCGAAAAAGCACAACAAAAAACCGGTCTAAAATACCTGCGTTGCAGAGCGAAGAGGACAAAGGGAATGAGGTTGGAACGAAGGAGAGTTTTGAAGAGGAGTTTATGAGGTAATAAGCTCTTATGCAATTCGTCTATAAGCACTTATCCAAATAAGCTCTTCATCGAGGGAGAGAAGAACCACGATGATTATCGAGTGTTTGGTTGGAGAAATTAGGTTTCCCAAAAAGTTGCTTTCATATTTCAATTGAAATAGAGTAAATAGTAATTGTCTGTTATAGCTTGAGAAACAAAGGGATTTATACTCCATATGTAGAATTAATTTTAGTAGGTTTCACTACTCTCATTTAAAATTGATTATAGTTTTATCTTTTATGATTGATTCTACTTATAAAGTTATAATTTTTTAATTTAAATTTAATTCTTATACTAAAATTTATTGAACAACTAATTTTTACAACAATTTATTAAAATATAAATTATCTTATATTAAAGTTGTTAAGTTTTTGGAAAAAATTTAGAGTCAAAATTAAGATTCATTTAAGAATTGCATATTTTCAATTTATTTTATTTTATTAATTATTTATTAAAAATTAATATATTAATTAAATAATATAGTAATTACTTATCCCATTAACTTTTCTTCCTTCTTTCTTATTCTCTCCGTTTCTTTTTAAGTGTCATTTTAACATAAAACTCTTCAATCAAAGATAGTGGATTATTAGAGTTATTTTTCCTATTATACTCTTATTTATTTTCTCTTTCCAAATAAATTCAATCATATACCATCTCTCTTTTTCCAATAACTAATTGAGAAAATAATTAATTTTATGGAAAATATGAAGCGGAGTTATTGAGAAAGTAGGAATATAATTGACAAATGATAACATTAAAATATAAAAATGACACTTAAATAGAAACAAAAAAATCTTTTAAAACGACACTTAAAAAAGAACAGAAGAAGTATATATTAAAATTGTTAAATCTCTTGAGAAACTTTTAGAGTTAAATTTAAAGTTTTTTTAGTAATTGTATATTTTTAATGTATTTTATTTTACTAATTATTAATTAAAAATTAATATATTAATTAAGTAATATAGTAACTACTTTATTCCACTAACTTTCTTTTCATTCTTTCTTAACCATTCATAAAGTTATCCATATTTTTATATCATTATTTAATTTAACAAAAATTTAACCATTCACGTTTTTTAAGTTAACAAACTAGGCCATTATTTAATTTATCAAGAATATCATTTAAACATCTATATTATACTTATTATATATAATACAAACTCACATTTTTAATTGTTAGTTCTTTAATATGATTTATTTTATAGAATAATTAACGAATGAATAATTGAATATCAACCATAAATTTTAAATAATTCTATTTTAATAAATAACGACTTACACATTAAAATATTTATATATATATTTCTATTTTTTATGTTGTATTTTATTTTGATATTAAAATTGTATACTTTTTTTGTTTATTTAATATTATGATATATTACATTAATTTATTATTTATTATAATAATAGTAATAGTAATAATAATAATAATTATTATTATTATTATAAATTTATAATAGTTTTATACCATTATTTTATTTAATAAAAATTTAACTCACATTTTTTGAGTTAACAAACTAGGTTATTATTTAACAAAAGTTTATCTATATTTTAGATCATTATTTATTTTATTTTATAAGTTATTTATTAAAAGTTAATATATAATAAAATAATAGAATAAATACTCTATCTCCATTAATGTTTTTCCATTCTTTCTTAACCGTTCATAAATTTATCCATATTTTTATACTATTATTTAATTTAACAAAAATTTAACCACCCACATTTGTTGAGTTAACAAACTAGATCATTATTTAATATATAATTGAATATGATTTATTTTATAAATTTTGATCAATGAGTAATTGAATATCAATCATAATTTCTAAATAATTCTATTTTCATGAATAATGACTTACACATGAATAACAGTAATATCTATTTAACAAACTATATGTATAAAATCATATGTGTGAATGAAATAAACTATTTATATGTATTTTTATTTTGTGTGTTATATTTTATTTTGATATAAAAATTGTATACTATTTTTTTTTGTTTATTTAACATTATGATATATTATATTAATTTATTATTTATTATAATAATAATAATTATTATTATTATTATTATTATTATTATTATTATTATTATTAATTTATTCATATTTTTAAACCATTATTTTATTTAACAAAAGTTTAACCACCCATGTTTTTTGAGTTAACAAACCAGGTCATTATTTAATTCATCAACAATATTTTTTATAAATCAATATTATAATTATTATATATGATACAAACTCACATTTTAAATTTTTAGTTATTTAATATATTTATTTTGTATATTTTGATCAACCAATTGAATATCGATCATCAGTTTTAAATAATTCTATTTTGATGAATAACAACTTACACATAAATGATGGATTTTTTAATAAGTAATTTGTGCCTACACATAAATGATGGTGATATCTATATAACAAATGTATGTGAATGAAATAAATTATTTATATGTATTTCTATTTTATATATTATATTTTATATTGACATTAAAATTGTATACTATTTAATTTCATCGTTATTTACATATATTGAAGTGGAAAACAAGATGTAGTTCGTTTGGTAATAATATATTATTAGCAATTAATAATATATAAAATATTTTAAAAAATGTATGACTATATTTATAAAAAAAATATTATTTGTGTATATGATTTAAAAAGATGTTTTAGTTTTAAACTCATCCATCATTGAAGATGTTAAATATATGTTTGATAAATAGAACTTATATCAAAAGTGTGTGTAAAGTACATCCAATATTTTAAAAATTGGACCATAAGTCAAATCGATATACTCTCTGCTTAAGATTCATTTGGTTCGATTAATTAAATTTACGGTCGAATTGTTTATTAAATAAATTAACAATATAAAACTAAATCATATGGATAAGTCACATAATTATATGTTCAAAAATTAATAAAATAATTTTTTTAGAAATTTATTACAAATTTAATAGTATGAGATAATAGTTAATATATTTACATGAAGAAGCTTATATGAAATAATGAAAAACATGTCTACAACAAAATTTATAACTTAATTTACAAATAAGTATTTTTTTTTATATGAGATAGATTAATTTTATGAAATCCAACACACGATGGTATATTTTGAGATGTATTTCAATTTTATAAAAATTACAAATAAAATCTTTCAAAATTATTATACATATAATTTTTGGTATCTATCAATAGGGATGTCAGTTTGGACCTGTTAATGGGGATTCCCGCGGAGAACGCCCCGTTCGGGGCCCTAAAGATGGGGAATTTTCCTCCGTGGGGGCGGGGATGGGGAGAAAAATTCCCCCGAAAGCATTTCGGGGACGGGGACGGGGACGGGGAATACACCCCCCGCCCCGCGGGGACCCCGCCCCGCCTATTATTTTAATATATATATTTTAGATTAGGTTTTTTAGTCATTTCCTTTATGTTTATTTATAAAAATAAATAAATAAATATTCATGTATTTATTAAGAGAGAGAAATGTAAATACTAGTATTTTTTAATAACATAATAAATATGTGAATTCTTTGTGCTTTTTATTTTTATAGAAAATATAAACATTTTAAAAAAATAAAATATTAATGAATAAATGTAGGATCTATGGGGATCCCCGCGGGGAACGGGGATCCGCGGGGAACGGGGATGGGGATAGAAATTCCCCCGTGACGGAGATCGGGGACGGGGACGGAGAATGAATTTGATGGCGGGGAAAAAGATGGGGAAGTGTCCCCCCGGCCCCGCCCCGCCCCATTGACATCCCTATCTATCATGGTGTATTTTTTCTTAAATATTGTATATTCTATTTTAACTTTTTATTAATTAGTAATTAATTTCACGTGCATCGCACGAGTTCAAATACTAGTTTTAAATTAATATTTAATTAGAATTAATTTTAGGAAATTAATTTTTACTAATCATAAAATCAAACAGACGCTTAAATAAAATGGTAAATTATATATAAAAAACCACAACGTGGACAAGTTGTTAAATTTTAGGTTTAATAGTAGTTTTGATCATTGAGATCTTTGAGATTAATTGCTATCTAGTGTCACATCGTAAATCTTTTTATATAATTAGTGCATCACAATTGTTCATAGATATTAATTTATACATGGTTAAAATCAAAGTCAAACTTCAATTAAAATTTAAAGATTACGATTAATTGATAATATAAATTTTTTTATACCGTCGATGTATATCAATTAAATCATTTCATCCTTATCTTTGTATTTCTATATATGTAATTTTGATAATTCTTTTAATTGCAAATTTTATTTTTAAATCTTTTTTTAATCTTTTATCTTAATAATTTCAAATATTAAATATTAAAAATTTGAAAATATTGATATAACATATCAATTTATTAATTTGATAAATTAATTTCATATCATATTATATATATGGGTGGCAAAACGGGTGGCCCGTCTAGTTTAAGCTCGTCTAAAAGTGGAGCGGGGCGGACCAACGTAAGGGTTCGAGCTCAAAAGTCAAGTCCGCCCCGTTTACTAACGAGTTGGCGGGTTGGTGGACCGGCCCGTCAATTTTTATTATTTTTTTAATTTTACAATTTGATTCAATACATGATTTAGAAATTTTTTAATTATTACCAAAGAGGTCGATAAAGAAATTTTTTTAACAACGCATAATAGAACTTTAAGATGTCTTAAGTCTAAACAATTCAAAAAATTTAATAAATAAAGACCAATTACAACAAAAAAAATAAAATAAACTCAAGCACAATAAAAAAATATCAAAATAAATAAACAATACATATCATCTTAATTCTATTTAAAAACTAACTACTAAAAGAATCCAATTTAGAATTTACACAAACTAACGATGATAACAATAACACTGCATAAAACATCACATTGCATACAATAGTAATGCGTAAAATATCAACACCGAACTTTCTCATTGCTTACATTATATAGACTCTTATATTAACCGATTCTTTAATAGTTAAATCCTAAATTTGTCATAAATATACACTAATAAAATCCTTCCTTTTTTTAAAATCAACATCTATTTCTAAAGAAAACATCTGAACTAATATATTGAAAACTTAATAATTATGCATGTCTTATATTTGTTCTTTTATTTCAATCATTTTCAATCAACGTGTGTATTAGAAAATTATAGAAAGAACGTTACAATTATAATTCAATTTGTCTATATAATAATTTATAATACAATCCTAAGAGATAAGTGTTGTTTTTATAATTAAAGTTGTTTTAATTCTTAATAAAAAAATAAAAGTTTTAACAAAAAGTCCGCGGAGAAAACGTGCATCGCTCCGTCTCGGTCCGCTTTTTCATGCGGGCTAGGCGGGACGGGCCAACTTAAGGTATCGAGCCGAAAACCTCTGAGCCTAGTCCGCCAAAAATGACAGGTCAAATGGGCCAACTTATGATTCACTTTGTCTCTTATCTTTTTTTCGTATTAAATTGGTCTATTAATTTTCAAAACGATGCAAACAAGTTTCTTCCGTCTACTCCATTAGTCAAAGTATGTTAAAATCTACGTGACACATTTGCTTAACTGTTGTTTAAAGAAGAATCAAATTCCTTGTGTTTCTTTTCGATTTTCATTTCCACATAATCCAATGTTTTAAGACATTTCATTTCCATCCATTTTTTGTTACTTTCTTTAT